CTCCCCACTGCATCCCTCCTCCCCACTGCATCCTTCCTCCCCACTGCATTCTTCCTCCCCACTGCACCCCTCCTTCCCACTGCACCCCTCCTTCCCACTGCATCCCTCCTCCCCACTGCACCCCTCCTCCCCACTGCATCCCTTCCCTCTGTTGATCACTGACCACAATCCCACCCCTCATTGCTTCTTATTCCCACACTGCACCTGCAGGACAACAGTTAGGAATTCAGGCTCCTGGCTATTACTATACTTTCAAATGCTAAAATCTTTGAGTAGAAGATTTTGAAATGTATAACAATTATTTCAAAAGCCATGCTGGAAAGCTGTTGTTTTGCTTATTTGGGTTTGTGTTTTTGTGTGGAGGTGTGGTGGTGGATGGAGAGGTGGCGCAGCAGTTAAGAACACTTGCTGTCATGCAGAGAGGACCTGGGTATGGTTTCCAGCACCCACATGGTACCTCACAACTGTCCACGACTCCAGTTTCAGGGTATCTGACACTGTCTTCTGTTATCTTAGGGGACAAGGAACACACATGGTATATATACATAAACGTAGACAACAATACACACACGTAAAAGAATCAATCTTTTAAAACATTTTAAAATTTGAGCTGTTAATTTTAGGAAATTTCTTTTTAAATGACATATCCCACCTGGAACCTCCACAGTAAGTCTTCCAAAGTGCTAGACATGTGTTTCCAGAGACGAGTCTTGGAATAAAGAAATAAATACTAAAGCATACATACCAAGGTGATTCGGTGATTTGGAGAGTTGATGATTCTCAGTTTGATTTACCTGGATGGGGCTGAAACTTCTGTCATTACTTCGCCAGCCTAAGGAATAATTGATTTTATCATGAGTATCCATGTTAGATACTCAGACAGAAGAAAATACCCATTTAATGCAACGGTGAGAAGCTTGGATTCTGGAAGCAGGTACAAATGACACTGACAGAGAATATGCAGTGACAACAACAACAACTACAACTACAACAACAAGAAATGTCTGCAACAGTGATGAAGTAACAAACATGACTATAAATGCCCTTCACAGTGTCACTTGACATCCATCTGGTGCATGTACCATTGTCACATCCCTTTCATAGGAGTTGACACCAGGGCCCAGAAAGGCCAGGTAACCTGTCTAGGCTCACAAAGGCAGAAGTTCAACTCAGACATTTCTACTCTGCCAGGATCTTAAGGCATAACTGAATCCCAATACTTAGTTAGGTGAAAGATTAGATCCCCTGAAATGAACTTCTCATTCTCTGAAAACTGGGGTGATATATCATCAACTTTAAGTTATTGAGAAGATAAATACAATACCTGTATCAATATCTGATATATCAGAAAAGAAAACAATTTATAATTAATGCCTTGAATTTAGAATATTCTGAATTAGTAATTATTTAAATATATATTAAATTAAGGAAGTAGAGGGTTTAATTAGAACATCAAAGGAAGCCAGACAGTGGTGGTGCATGCCTTTAATACCAGTATTCTGGATGCAGAAGCAGGCCAATCTCTGCGAGTTCAAAGGCTAGTCTGGTGTACAGCTCCATGACGGCCAGGGCTACACAAGGAAAGCATGCTTCAACAAACAAACAAACAAACAAACAACAAAATAAAAAAATCCTAAAGGACTTTTTTAGTGATCCATCTTGACTAGAGAGGGATTCCCAACTTGTTAGCCCAGTAATAGCAAATGAAGGTATCATATAGGGAGTCCAGTTGTGTCATGATCCGATGAGGTAAACCCAAAGGGGAAAATCTGTTACCTCACAGAAAGAGCATTCTCATCACACCCTTCTAACCACCACCGGACATAAGAGCAGAGCAGGTAGGCAGTATCTAGTCATAGTCAAGCAAAGCACAGGCAAACCTGTGGGTCCACATATACAGGCAACACATACAGAAGTTGGAACCTTTCTACAAAACCCTGAGGACCAAGGCTATAATATCTCAATCCTAAACTTGGAGAAACTATGGATGTAGATAATGTTGTGGACATCAAAAACACAAGGAAAGAGCATGCCCACACTCACAGTATGTGGGTGAGTTTTGTGTTTCTTTGTATTTTGTTTGTCAACAAAACAAGATAGGATCATCTAGGAAGAGGGACGCATGATTGAGAAAATTTCCGCTATCTGATTGGCCTGTAGGCAAGTCCCTGGGGGCCTCTTGATTAATGACTGACATGGGAAGGCCACTGTGGGTGGTGGCACCCCGTGTCCATGGGTCCTCAGATATGGAAGAAAGCAGGCTGAGCAAGCCATGGGGAGCAAGCCAGTAAGCAGCATTCTGTAAGGTGAACTACACCCTTTCCTCCACAAGTTGCTTTTGTTACATCACAGCAACAAAGGCAAACTGAGACTCATGGGATGAGACAGTAATGCTTATAGAGTCAACAAGAACAGACCCTCAGATGTGGATGGATCTAAGGGTGACCAGGTCAGGCTTTCTTGAGAACAGCTGCCACTAGGTCCTAAGGAAAAGAAAAACCACGATGTTTATTTCAGGAGTTGGAGCAAGTGGGTTCTTTGTGAAGCAAGGGCTAAATAGCACAAGACATCAATCCAGAGTTCATCTGTAGCTGTTAAATTCCCCCTGATTCTTCAGGTCAGACTAAGGTCATGGGGTAGGGTACAAGGGTCACCCCTGGCTGAGGTGAGTCCTGCCTAGGCCACTCTAGGACCTGGTGATGACTTATCTTCATATCCCTGAATAAAGGATGTCCACATGGGTCCCCAGAAAGTGAATAGCTTTTCATCACCAATTCTGTTGCTTTGAAGTTCTGCCCCAACATAGGCCTTAAGTGGTGTGGTCAAACCATTTGGACTAAAGTCTCTAAATCCATGAACCCAAAGAAATTGACTGTCCAGGTTCTGTTTTGTTCTTGAGAGAGTTTTCCTATGTAAATTGGCTGGCCTCAAACTCACAATTCTCCTGCCTCAGGGTTTTTCATGTCCGGCTCCTCCTGGGTAATTTGTCCCAGTACAGGAAAGTTAACAACAGGCTTATACCCACTGTCTGCCTTGCTGTCTCTATTTCTTCTGATTCACACTCTTCTAATGGTCATCTTTATTTCCTATTCTCAGAGGAGATAAGAAACTTTCTGCAGCTATAATTACCTTGTTCAAGACTTAGCTGGGAGTTTGGGTCCCTTCCATCACTTCCTTGGAAACACAATACAGTTGGGAACACTGAAGTGGGAGGAGAGGGAGAGGGAAGAAGAAGAGGAAGCCATTAGACATCTCTAGCAGGGAAAAGGGACAGTGTTTCACAATTACACATTTAGGAATTTCTAGCTCTCCAGTCACTCCAAGTTTGATGGGTTTCCCATGACAAGGTTCACCCATCATGCCCTGGGAGAGAGAAGACTCCCAGAATTGACTTTATGCTGTCCACACAGAAATGAGACACTCACGGTCAAGAACAAAAAAGGAAAAGAAACTCTGTCAGCTATGTTGCAATTGCAGTGTTCAGAGGGGAGTGAAGGACTACATCAGAACAGGAAAAAGAGAAGCAAAACATGGCTTCCAGGGTATCACAATGGTAAGAAGAAACAGGAGGTTTGCATGGATCAAAGGTCTAGGATCTGGAACATACCAAAGGGAAGCCCCAGCAGCTTTGAAGATGGGTGAGATGGGATTGAAGAGCTGGCTCACAGATTATTGGTTTCTATGAGCATGAGGTGCTACACTAAGATGGATCCTGCACCCACAGCTGAGCTGTCACTCAAGAAGGGCAGTAACCAATCTGATGTACTGCCATGTATATCATTATAAGGGTTCCCACTGAAGAGACACAACAGTGCTACCCTACTGACAACCAGCACTTCTAATCCTATCCTCTTCTACATAACCTGAGGATGGTATGCCTCCCATTGTCCTGAGAGCCTAAATGCCCAGCAGCAGAGCTCTGGAGGGTGTCCACTGTAGCCATTAGTCATAAGTTTTCAGGGGATGCATGATGCATTAGTTTCTTACTTCTATAGCCTCAACTGCCCTGCATGATATATGGCACATGATAAAAGCTTAATATATGTTTGTTGACAACAAAAAGGACTGTGCTCTCAAGGGGCGATGTTAAACCCAATTACCATTTTCAAAATTTTTACGAATGGATTTCAAACCGGGGTACTTCTCCATGTTGACCTCATTGAACAATTCACGCAGGACCTCCATTTTAAAGTTCTTCTCCAGTTCTTCCAGGGCTCTGTAGATCACTCTGTCTACAGGGATCAGCGCTCTACAAGAATCTTGCAAATCCTTGAATAAAAATATCGAATAGAGAAAATTTCAGTGCAGGCTTCCAAGTCACAGAAGAACCGTGGCAAACAATTATGGTAAGGGTACTTCAATTCCCTAAAACATATCTTTTAAGGGGAAGCTTTATATTTGCATGACTACTTCATGAAACATGTAAATGTTTTCTCTTTGAAAGTATTCCTGGTACCCTCAGACTACCATCCTCATTTATATATGTAAGAAGGGCCACCTTTGAAAGGGAAACATGGGTTAAAGATCAACTACGGGGTTATCACTCAGTGTGTAGAGGCACTTGCCACTAATCCTGATAGTCTGAGTTCCATCCCTGGGATTGAGATCACCATCTGAATCTGAAAAAGAAACCAACTAGCCACACTTGGTCATTTTCTTCCCCATGTGCAAAGCAGTAGATTCATACACATATGCCCACACAATACAAACATACACATACATGCTCATAAGTAAGTAAACAATGATTTTAAATTTTTAAGTGTGTAGAGGGGCTAAAGAGATGGCTTGGTGGTTAAGAATGCTTGCTGCTCTGGCAGAGGACCCAAGTTCAGTTCCCAGCACCAACACAAGAGCTCATAAACATCTGTAACTCCAGTTCCATGTGATGATTCAGTGTTCGTTTCTGGCCTCCAGAGGCACCAGGCACACAAGTGCTATGCACACATAGATGCAGGCAGAATGGGTGTATATGAAAGAATAAAAATAAATACATTCTTTATTTAAAAAAAGACAAACTAATGTATATCTCATAGCCAGGCTAATTTTGGTATAGACTTGACAGGTGTCCAATGGTATTCTATTAACAAGACACTTCCTGGCCTCCTATTTAACACTGATTTATCATGAAGGAAATAAGGTGTCCATTCCCTCTGATTTTTAACCCTACTGGAGAATGGTATATTCATTAGGCAACAGAAACACTAGAGAGGCTAGAGAGATGGCTTGGTGGTTAAGAGCAGTGGCTTCTCTTCCAGAGATCTTGAGTTCAATTCCCAGTACCCACATGGTAGTTCATAACCATTTGTATAACTCCAGTTCCAGAGGATCTAGTGCATTATCTTCTGACTGCCAAAGGCACCAGGGGCACAGATAGTACACAGATATACATGCAGACAAAACACTCATATATGTAAAATAAAAATAGTTTTTAAAATTATAAACACTCTGTAGGTTTTAATGTTCTCAAATCTAGGTTTTTAAAATAAACATTTATTATACTAAAAAGTACTAACTGAAATTTCATGAAGTTAGTTTAATAAAAATAATTGTAGAGTTAATTAAAACCACCTTTGAGTTTTAGTTTATTTCCTTAGTTTAGTTTAGATTGCATATATTACATGGTGTGACATGTAGGGGCCATTGCTCATCCATGGAAAATTCCCATTCTGATCTAGCTTGACTTCAGCAATACTCACTGATGCCAGAACGTGACACGGGACACTGTTCTCTCAGATAGAAGCAGGTCCATCTCTTGAGGCCTCTGCTTCTCCTCTCCCTTAATACCCGCAAAGAGCACACCCAATAATATTTTCATGACAGGTATCACTCACAGGAAACCCAGATTTTAATTCTGAGGCCATAATTCTGATTCATAATTGATGAATTTAATATTGTAACCGATACCTCTACAAAGTGCTATGAAAATCCATGAGCTTTCTTGGTCAAAATTTAGTCCTGGGGCTGGAGAGATGCTAAGTGGTTCAGAGCATGTGTAGCTCTGGCAGAGAACCTGGGTTCCAGTCCCAGTACCTACATCAGGTGGCTCACAACTACCTGCAACTCCAGTTTCAGAGAATCTGGAACCCTTTTCTGGGCTCTGTGGGCATCAGCTCCTATGCAAACATGCACACACATGCATACATTCATACATACATACATACATACATACATACATACATACATACACACACACACTCACAAACTCACACACATACAGGAACACAAAAATACACACATGAACCTAAAAAATGAAATCTTTTTAAAAAATTAAGCCCAACCTTAAAAACCTGTCAGTCATACGATTTGAAGTTTGGATCCAGGATATCAAAGTGTAACTTAATTTGGAGCTTGTTTACTAGGTTATGATGTAGTGAATTTCACTTACATCATACATTTTACCAGTGATGAATTCACGGTCTCGGAGGCTCTCAAGAAAAGGAAAAGTACTTCTTATCACATTAGAAATCTTCACTTTCTGACTCTTGAAGTGCTTGAATATAAGTTCAAAGGGAAATGTCTCTGTGCTCTCATGTTCGCTGGACATCCTAGAGGAGAAAATACCATAGGAAAATGGTTATCAGTACAATAGATGCTTGTGGAAACTATAAGGTTTTATATATGAAAGAAAGACTTTGAAGAACTAACACACTTAGGACAAATGTCTTGAGTTAGCCCCAATGCATCAACAGCTGAACTGGAAGCTCTGGGTTCAAGTGAGAGAGACACTGCCTCATTGTATAAGATGGAGACTGATGGAAAAGGAAGCTCAGCATTGACTCTGACTTCCTCACACATGTGTTCACACAGCCATGTTCATCTGCGCAGACATAAGCTCCCACACATGTGAATGTTTTTGTATGCATGCATATGTACTGCAGACCACAGTCATACAAAAAATAAAATTAAACACAATGCTAATTATGATTTTCAAATCCCACTACTAGTTGTTCCCATACAGGATTGATGAAAAGTAATGTTCTCACCAAATTATATGGAAATATGTCTGGAGGTATTGTTGGTAGCCAAAAAATAGAAGCCATTGAAATGGCCCTTAATTGGTGGGTAGAAAAATAACACTGGACAAATCTATGCAATGAAATATCATTATGTAATAAAAAGGGACAAAATGCTAATACATTCTACAATGTGAATGAATCTCAAAAATATTTGTTTCTTAATGAAAGAAGTCAAACACAGAAGGCTACATGATGTATAATTCCATTTCTACAAAATGCCAAGAAGTGAAATCTATGCAGACAGATGTATTACTGGCTGCTTGGACTAAGGGGGACAAGAATGGACTGTCCATAGCTGTGAAGGAGTTCTTTTATGGAGAGGGGAGGTCTATGCCCTACACTCATACTGTGGTGCTGGGTGCACAGCTCTGTAAAAAGTCATTGGATTTATATTCAAATGCATAAATTTTATTGCAAATAAATTGTACTACAAAAGTTGTCAAAAATGAAAGTGGACATTCAAAGGGCTGAACAGAGTGAGGAAGTTGACAGGATACACTTTGAAGCAAAAGATGAAAATTGAATAACAAATACACATTGTGTCATGATTGGTTTGTTTGTTTTTAATTTGTTTGGTTTGATTTCTGTCAACTTGACACAAGCTAAAGTCTTTGAAAAGAGGAACTTCAGTTGAAAAATAATACCTCCATAACTATCGCCTGTTAGACATGTCTGTGTGGCACTTTTTTTTTTTTTTTTTTTTTTTGGTTTTTCGAGACAGGGTTTCTCTGTGTAGTTCTGGCTGTCCTGGAACTCACTCTGTAGACCAGGCTGGCCTCGAACTCAGAAATCTGCCTGCCTCTGCCTCCCAAGTGCTGGGATTAAAGGTGTGTGTCACCACCACCCGGCCATGTGTGGCACTTTCTTGATTGATGGTTGATGTGGGAGGGCCCAGCTCACTGTAGGCACCACCACCTCAGGACCTGCTGTTCTAGGATATATAAGAAAGCAAACTGACCAAGCCAGTAAGCTATGCCACCACAGTGTCTGCTTCAATTCCTGACTCCAGGTTTCTGCCTGAGTTCCTGCCCTGACTTCAAGAATGGACTATGATGTGGAACTATAAGCCAAATAAACCCTTTCCTTACCAACTTGTTTTTGCTCATGGTGTTTTATCACTGCCATAGAAACCAAGCTAAGAGATTACTTGAGTGATGTTTCCACAGTCTGAATAGGAATGCCAGATGGTGACAGATAACCTTATGTTAGAAAGGCATCTTTGTTGATGTCAGGATCTCTGTGACTTAGTGCCCAACACAGAATGACCAACTAGCAACTACCTCCCCCTGACTCAAACACAGCAACTGGAAGATGAGACTAACCTTTCCCATGGGCCACCAAAGCCATGTGTGAAGGGAAAAGAAGCATTTGCTCTGACTGCATTGTCCCTCCTCAGTCTAGGGTTAGCCTTACCAAGATGGTGACCCTGGACCTAAGGTCTCTCTGTACTGGGGAACCAGAAACAAACATAGAGCTCCCAAAACTCTGAGGTGCCCTGGGGGAGGTCTCCATCTATCTTGTTCAATGAAAAACACTGAATGACTCAGCAGAGCACAGAAAAACAACAAATGGGGCAGGATGATAAGATGAAGGTACAGCTGTGTCTCTACTATCAGTGGCACTCTTGGTGGGAGAGCCCAGTCAGCTGTTCTCCTCTTGTGCCTCCATCTGTCCAAGGGAACACACTTACCAGTCCTCCCTATCAAGCAACCAATCTGGTCACAAAGCCTGTCTGTCTACTCCCCAGGACAACTTGTTGTCTGTACCTCATAGCAGAGTATAGTTTTGGCTCCACCCAACCAAGGCAGAATAGCAGCCATCTAGCTCAGAGGCTAACCTACGACCTCCCCTAGGCAAATTTGAAGAGACACCATAACAACAGCAACTCTTCAAAAAGAAAGCATTTAATTGTGGCTGGTTTATGGTTTCTGAGGTTTAATCTGTCATCAGGTCAGAGAGCATGGCCAGATGTAGACAGATGTGATGCTGGAGAAGTAGCTTAGAGTTCTAGAAAAGAGAGACTCTAGGCTTGGAACGGGCTTTTTGAAACTTCGAAGCCCACTTCTAGTGACACACTTTCCCTACATGGCCACACTTCCTAATCCTTTCAGATAGTGCCACTCCCTCTGGACTAAGTATTCAAATCTATGAGCCTATGGCAGCCATTCTCATTCTAACCTAGTCACACAGTTCATTCACTGTTCAGGACCCACTGTGAAGACACCTCCTGCTTTATGGCAGAGGGGCCACCATAGGCAATGGTAGAGAAGAGAGAGGCCAGAAACACAAAGGCATATAGGTCCACTTGATGACTAATCAATGATGTCCTTAGAAACCAACAGGAATCAAATATAACCTCAGATAGAAAACAAAAAACCCTATCCAGGTTATATGATATGGTAAGCTAGGTGTGGTGTGAGCTGCCCAGTGTCCAAGCATAAGGGATGGGGTGTAACCACAGCAACCATATAATAAACAAAGGACAGTAGAGTGGAGACCCCATCTGGAAGAACGATCCAGAAGCCATAAGGAAACTTTTCTCAAAGCTCTTAGCAGACAAGAACTGATAAACGGGTGAAGACAGGCAGGAAGTTAACAAGATGTAGGTTACAGAGGAGCTTGGAAAACTATGGAGATGAGCTAGGAACCCTTGTAAAATTTATACGATCCTTTATCAAAATGTATTTCTTTAAAAATTAGAAATTAGGGGATGAAGAGATGACTCAGTGGTTATGAACACTGACTGCCTTTCCAGAGGACTCAGGTTCAGTTCTCAGCACCCACATGGTAGGTCACAAGTGTCTGGAACTCCTGGGAATCTAACAAACTCTTCTGACTTCCTGGGGCACCAGGCATGATATGTTGCACAGACATACATGCAGGCAAAGCCCTCATACACATAAAATAATGAAATAATATTTAAGATTAAATTAGAAATCGGGACTAGTTAGGCTGCTCAGTGACTTGATCGTCAGTGTAAAGACTTGAGTTCAGATCCCCAGAACTCACATAAAAACTGGATGCTATAGAACATGCATGTAATTCCAGCATACCTGCACCTCCATAGGCGATGGAGACAGGAGACTTCCTGGAAGCCTCACCTTCCAACTAACCTAGTGGACACAGAAGCGAACAGGAGACCCTGCCTCAAACTCAAACAAGGTGCAAGGGGAGCGTGAGTCCCCAACATTGCCCTCTGATCTCCACACATGTGCCATGACACACACATGTACACACACACACTCCATTCATACACACATATATACACAGAATTCATATACATACACACTGCATTTACATACACATACTCAAATACAGGTACAGCATTCATACATATACGTACACACTGCATTAAACACACACACACAGCATTCACACACACACATACTCACATATATCCAGCACTCATACACATACACACAGACTGCATTCATACACACACATACACACACACATAGGATTCACATACACACACATACTCACATACTTCATTCATGCACACATATATAAACAACATTCATACACATACACACACTGCATTCATATACACACACATACACACACATACACACTGCGTTCACACATACATGGTCACATAAGCACAGCATTCACACACACTCACACATAGATACACACTGCACTCACACATACAGACAAAACTTTTTTTAAGTTCTAAATGAAAGAAACAAAGCTACTAACCATTCAGTCATTGTCATGGGGGAAGACCCGGAGACAGCCTGATGGATGCAAAGATGAAAATCCTAAAGAGGATTGCACAGAGGCAGTGAGAACCGGGGAGGCTGACGTGGCTACGGGGTAGAGTCCTTTTGCGTAAAAGAAGGCAGATGAAAAGAAACAAACTTTCCCTGAATAAAGATAGATTCACACATGTTGCCTGAAGAAGACAGAACTGTGATCCAAACAAAATAAACAAAAACTCATGCCAAGTCCAACAGGGCAGGCCTTTAAGCCCAGGGACTCAGGAAGCTGAAGCAGGAAGATTACAGTTTCGGGGTTAGACTGGGCAACTGAGTGAGACTGTGTCTCAAATTAAAAAGTAAAGAGAGGGCTGGGGATATAGTTCAGAGGTGGAGAACTTGCTTGGCAACCACAAAGCTCTAGGTTCAAAGGCAGGCACTGCAAGCAGAGATACAAACCCCCAAGGGTGCTTGATTTTCTCATTCGCTTCTGTTATCACTTTATTTATGGATGCTTACTTTTTACAAGATCAATTCTAAAATTCAAATTTTAACTTTGTAAAATTCAAATTTTAACTTTGTATGAGAGAATACGCACCGTACACAGCGTCAAAAGACAAAGGCGAGTATATCCACAGTTTCTCAGGGTAATTAGGGAATGCATAGAAGAAGGCATAACATCTGACTAAAGATAGTGAAAAACAAACCAGTGACAGGAGAGGGAACTGAAAGGCTAGTGCACAAGGAAAACAACCCATTTTCTGCTTAATAGGGAGACTGAGACCCAGCACACATCTCTATTGTCTTTTTGGACTGTGGCTGAGAGAGGGA